GTCATGACCAAATCTTCCCGCGCGAATACCCCGAGCTCATCTCCCATGGCGCCTACAGCCCGTTGCTACTGCAAATTTAACCTCGGAATTTGACGATCGGCAAGAGAAAAAAAATAGGATATTATCGAACAAACCCGGTGGCATACAAGATTAAACGTTCGGCGACATTTTGGAGTTCGACATATCGATTGCCTGAGAACAATGCACGCTAGGCCGCCTTTGAACGCGTCCTCTTCAACACAACTGCCCGGGTCCATGCGTCCTTTCGAGACGCTTGACCTGCGCAAGACGCAAAAGAGATGCGAACTACTCTACTAGCTCAGGCAATGAAGACTATCTGCATCGAACTGCGAGGTGTGAAATCACGTGATAAAACCACTGGGGAAAGTCATGGGTATGTACTGTTCTCGCGCTCTAGGGCCCTATATACATGAAAGTCTAATTACAAGCCCGAGTCGATCTGATTCAGTACGACCTGGGAAGTGTAAGCATCCCAGGTGTCGCAAAGTTGAAATTGTTCGTCCCCAAATGTCTGCTTCTGAATCTCCTCTGGCCTCTCCAAGATCTGCATGAAGAGCCCTCCACTAACGTGCCAAGCGAGGTGGCAATGCAGTGGCCAGGCGCCTGGGTTATCTTGTACGAATTGCAGTACCAAGTACGAAGGCTCAACAGTGCCGGTGGTATTTCGTGCATTCTGCATCTGGTGGACATCGCGGCGCAGCGTGTTCTCCGGGTTTGTCACAACGCCGTCCCACTCGCCGAAGCCTTCAGCCAGGATGTGGTAGTCATGGCCGTGAAGATGCATGGGGTGGCCGCCAATGAGACCGTGATTGACCATGTGGATGCGGACATGCTTCGCACCGGGGAATTGGTACACGTTCCATTCAGGGTTGAAGTCCGACTCGTTACGCTTTGCTTTCAGTAGCGTTGGCTTGTTGTAGTTACCGTGGTAGGTACTGTTGTTGAGATACCAGATGAAGTTGGTGCCATTGGAGCGGAAGTCAAAGTCCACACGTTCGACATGGTCAGGCTCTTCCAATGGAACTTTACACAGCGGGATACCTTGAGTGATGGGGTCGTTCTTGCATTGCTCAAGTTGTTCCTTCGTGACATCAGAGGTAGACTTGGGGATAGCGTCGGTACCGGCATTCTCGTAGTATACTGCCGCAAGAGCGTTAGGTGAGATACCGTCGGTGAGTGTACAGCGAAAGCCTTGAGCAAGTTGAGAGCGCATCCAAAAGGTATCGCTAGGCTTGCCGATAGCTTCGACTATAACATCAGTGCGCTGACCGACGGCAAGCGTGACGACGTTGGTCGTGTACGGCTCGACCGGGATGTAGTCTACGGCGATGACTTTCAGTTTGTGCCCATCGATGCTGAACTTCTGGTTGCCTTCAGCGCCTGTGTTGATGAGGCGTAGTAGATGCTTCTTTCCAGACTGGAATTTGAACTTAGAGATACCTGCATTAGGCGTGCAAGGCAAGGTCGTGTTGGCACATGGGTAATTCATTCTTCCATTGATGAGGTTGTTGTTGGAGGGCGGGAATTGGCCGTTCATAGTGCCTTCAACAAGGGTATAGTAGTCAGCGTGGAACCAATCTTCGAGTATGATGGGGCCAATGTCGATGTCGTAATCCTCGTGTTTCGGCCCATGTATGACCATGGGGCCGTGAGCGCCACCGGAGTATTGCGCACTGTAATGGCCTAGGAAATCAGCTTTTGCGTATCTCAGTGTAGTACTGAAGAACTTACTGTGATACCAAGACGTCCCGTAGCGGTCGGCTCGGAAAAGCATCTCATAGTAACCACCGTTTGGAGTGATCGGGCATTGACTGACCGCAGGTACACCGTCATACCAAGTACTTTCTGTCTGGAAAAGGCCGTGGGCATGAAGGGTAGTACCCTCATCAGTCAAATCATTCGTAACTCTCCACAGAATCCAATCACCCCTGATGCGGTCAGTAAAAGCATTACAATGTTGTGTGACAGTCCATACCAGTTGGCTTCAATCAGAGGACCGGGGAATTGACCATTGACTGTGAGTCCATTCCTGGTGACACCATCTGGAGCGATCGTTTGATAAGCCACGTGAAGATCGTATGTTCTTGTCACGCCAGTGTCGGGCATGGAAGGACAAAGAAGATCAGCCTTTGGTTTAGAGGCCGCAGAAGCGATGGGGTCGAGCGTCCCGGTAGCAGTTGGTCGGAAAGTGCTAGACCCCGTGGCATTTGCATAACCGTATGGATAACCAGATACTGTAGGGTGGAGAGAATGTGTTGAAGGAAGCCTCGTTGGTTCAGATGTATATGCGCCATCGGGATTGCTGCCTGGGAGACCATTTGCCGGGAGATGGGGAGAGTCGATCAAACCCCATTGTGAGTTACCACACTGTTCGACATTTGAAAGTGAGCTCTTCAGATGGTCGGTTCCCTTGGGAACCCAGCACGGTTCTTTGTAGTCATGTTTGGCGGGCCCGCCGTATTCGTAGGGTGTCGAAGGCTGAGGGGGAGCGTACTCTTCTCCATGTGATGGTTTACCCGGCCACTCGAAAGGCAGAGGTACGTCGTTGTAGGGATTGTAGTACGGCCCACCATGCCCATGAGAGTTGGTCGTGGGTCGTGCTGTGGCGTATTCAGTGACTGTAGCTGTGACGACCTGGCAGATGGGCGCGGTGCTGAACTCAGAAGGGGTGACTGCGTGGAGGACAGACGACAATGAAGCCGTAGCGGCGAAGTAAGGAGCGTAGGCTACCATGGTTGTAGCAACAAAAGTTGGCCGTATGGTTGTTCACGAGCGACCACAACAGGCTTGACTGCGCAAAGAAGGAACGACTGTGTTGAGAAGCAAGACACTGCATCTGAAGATATGCTGAAGGCCATGTTATATGGGATTCTATGACAGTATGCCAAATACCCAACGTTCTATGTTTGGCCGTGGGGCTTGAGAATACGATGAAGCGAGCTATGTGGCGGGAAAAAGTATGGGCCGTGAATCTGAATATGGTCGAGACACCCGAGGCGAGGCGAGGCGCAAGAAGCAACGCGCTGTAAGGCTCCCATTTGTGGATCAGGCAAGCAGTATAGCGAGTAGATCATGAGAGCTCAGCGTTACTTTTGAGTCCAACCCGTGTTCCCCTTGGCGTCGTTCGGACACCGAGGCGGGAGAAGGAGATGAACTAAGCCACTCAATGTTTGGCATCATCGACGTTGCGAAAAGATCTGCAGACGCAGCATCCGCGGCATACATGCCGTCGCCGTTTTCGCGTTTAAGGTTCTCCCGACGATATGCAGGTACGTGCCGGAGTATGCCAAGCGACACGATTGTACATCATTAACGTATCCAGTGTGATGGTGGCATTGCCATACTTGTTTGCGAGTCAGCTTCGAGAGATGTGGGACCACATGTGGTATCTATGTAGACTTATTCTGAATCAGCTACCATATTTCGATACCTTGAAATGCGGGACTTATAGCCTAATCTTTTGTTGTTGTGATGGTTCGTATTTTGCTGCCGTGAGTGCCGTGTGCGTAGGTAGTCCAGAGACATGCTAAGCTCCCAAGATCGCGTAGAACCGTTCGCAATAGTGGCTTAGACGAAGCAGGCGACTGCATGTTCTCCTGACCGTGTGGAGATGATGAAGAGAAGGCTGCGCTGTGGAAGCTGAGGTCATTGGCAAAGTGGTGTTGAGGCGTCGGGATAAGCACTGGTTAGCGCTGACACCTCCCGCACACTTGGGCATGGCATCCGGCTAAAAAGGGGCCTGGCGCTGATCGCTCAAGACCACTTCTACTCCAGAGTAATTCCAACTGAGGGCTGACAGTCGTTACTGGCGGTGATGTGGCGACATAAGGAAGCTATGCAGCTAGGTGTCGCATGCCTTTCTTTCCTGCCCGTCGGATCACGACCATACCTAGGTACCATGCTGTCTGTCAGTACCCACATCGCGACTACCATATTGCTCTCAAGATGGGAATACGGCAAAGAAGAACTTATACGTGACGCGCTACAGGCCGTTCATCGATAATGCAGCACATGGCACGAGTCATTGAGTGATATGTTGTTTGGCAAAAGAAACCTTATGGGCCAGGCTCAAGGCTTCTACCGCCACATCGTCGGCAGTCCTCGGGTACATCCTACCGAACTCAGAAAGGTACAAAAATTGCTGATAAGGTTTGAACAGCTAATCCGACATGCGCAGCTAGTTTCGCGGTCTGTTTAGTATCGTTCGTCGATCTTGCGTGCAAATTTCAGGTCTTGACACCCGCTTGCGACACACGCCCTGCGCCCACATCATCTTCTGGCCAGGTCCCCGGATCTTTCTCTTCATATGTTGGGAAACAGTATCCTTCAGCTTGTTCTGAGGCATCGAACGCCTCTAATGGAGATTGCCGATGCACCGCCAGCAACTAGTAACACCGCACCCGCCGCAGTGCATGACGAATCGTAGCCAGTCGGCGCTGCAATCCTCACAGTCCCCCCCAGTCACACGTTGCCAGACGTGCAAATGCTCAGCGGGCTCTGGTTCTGGAGCGGGGGCTGGCTGGCCGACTGGATCAGGGCGAGTCAGGAACTCCTCATCCCACTGTGGGCATCTGCATGTTTTCCAGGGCACGCCGCAAAGGTAGCAAAACTCATGACCGCAGCGGCAGTACATGTGGAAACAACCCTGAGAAAGCTCAACCATGTTTCTACATTTGGCGCATTGCTGCCACTTGGCCCGCTTTGCTGCATCCATGAGGAGTTGTACATGTGGGTCGCTCGGACACAGTCCGTCATGTGCACGATGTTTGCACTGCACGCATGTCGTCTCTTTGCAGTCGATACAGGTGCCTATATCGGCGCTAATATCCTTGACCCGAATGAAAGCGGTGCAGTCGATATTTGCGCAATATGTCGGATTCGGTGTCGCAAGCTCCTCCACCTTGAGGTCGAACTTCTTGACGTATCCTTGCGGAAGCATGGTACGACATACTTCCAGCGGAATTGGAATGTTGCAGCATTTAGGAGGAAAGATCGAGACGTCTTCGAGGGCCCTGACGAAGAAGTCATGAAGACAATCTCGACAATAGCTATGAGCCACAGGCTTGCATTCGAGTGTCAGGGTGTCTGTGGTCGGTATATTATCGAGACACATCCCGCACAGAGTGAGGGGCTCTTCCAGGGTAGGTTCCGAGTCGTAGTCAGTCCCTTCTTCTTCGGTATCGCTTGTCTCATCGGGCTCCGTTGAAGTTTGCGAACCCATCTCGTATGCGTGGATTTCGGCATAGAGCTCCTTTGCACGAGCCCACTGCTCATTGGTACCGAGGGAGCGATCGTTGGACAGGTTCGTAGCGTAGGTCGAGCTGAGTACGAATTCTGGGTCTTCGGTACTCAAGCCGGCCAAAGTCAAAGCGAGCTGATGGTCGGCAATGGCCTGTCTTTCCTCTTCGAGAAGCTTTTCGAATTCTGCGTCAGTCTCACGCTCAGTTTTGGAGAGCTCGCGCGCCATCGCGTCCGGGTCAAGGACTATGCCGAGTGTTTGGGTCATTGGAGGGTGTGTGTGTGTCGCGCCCATTGAATAATGGACGGGATGAGAAAGAGGTCGCGTCGCTCAAATTTCCAGAAAACTTTGTGGGCGCTGAGTTCCAAGGTTGAGTTGGTGATCACAACAACGCTACTGCGTTTGTCTTCCAGATTGGGAAACCACTGATTCCTCTGTCACCGGTGTAGGAGCGCTGCCACAGCATCCTCAGTAAAGGGCTCCAACTGTTGCAGGCTGCAATGATGCTGCTGCATTACAGAACAAGAATCCGATGCCGGCTGCAGATGTATCTTAGCATTACGAAGAGCAACCCTCTGTAGAATCGCTGTAATAGACCTTGTCATCCTTGAATAACGCCTTTGGCGGCTGTGTGCACAAGCCCGTATCTCATCCTAGATGTGGGAGGTAGTGGTGAGTTTGATAACATGAGCTAGATACACTGAAGCTCTGAGTGAGGGGACATGCAGCGTCTTGTGAATACGGTGATAACCATATTTGCTGATCGAAGGTCTCTCGGAGCGTCGCTACCTAGGTACTGGGAACGATAATCATGCCGATCATCTGTTGAAACCGAAACGAATTCTTGTTGTAGGCTTGATCCTTGACTGCACGTGTTATGCGACAGAGTTTTCGTGATATGAGACGGCGAAGAACGAGTTGCATTGTGAGTCTTGCCGATGTGGCGCGCTGGCGATGACATCATCACCATCCTTAGGCGCGTACCAGCCTGGCGGCCTCTTTCTCCTGGCAACCACGATCCAACACCGCCTTTACATACGCGCCTTCATCTCCTCAACGTTGGATACTTCATCCTTCAGACTCAGTCACTTTACCGCGATCCTTCACGGCGTCGACCGCAACCCCAGCAGCGATCATGCAGTTGGTGTTTCGTCTCGCCCCACCCCAACGTTTCAACGTGCCGCGCGCAAAGCACATGAGCATGAGCGCGCATTTCTCTATGACTCCATCCGCATACGGCGTAAAAGTCGACTCAGGGTATTATCCTGTGGCTATTTAGCCGTCTTGTCATTCTCCGACGAACATGTTCATGTCCACACTCGAGCCGTTGTTGATACCTCGACCCTGGGTTGGCAGACCCGCATCGTATCTTAAGCTGCAGATTCTTGAGATTGCAGAGGATGCCATCATTAGATTCTGCAGCCATACCCTATCGCACCATCATCTCCGAGGCAAGGCAGGTGCCAAAGCAAGTGCGATCAAGAAGTTGTTGCGATCCATCCTCTGCAAGCTCTGCTCCAGCCATCGCAATAAGCAGTTGCAATGCGTTAACAGCCACACCAATGTGCAGTTTGCAGCGCGGGATAGTAACGCCAACACTTTACAGAGGATGCCTCGGAGCCCCTGCAATGTGAAGGATTCTCGCCTCGTCCAATGTCAAAACAGCACTAAGCTCTACTCGGCTCGAACTCCAGGCACAGTGCATCTCCACCAATCAGCGCTCCACATGTCAAACCTGTCAGTCGTCGTTTGACCCATGGACCTGGTTCTGGTTCCCAAGAGTTCTGTTCTTGGCCTAGGTATCCATCCTTCGTTCATCTATCCGAGTGTGGCTGCAGACACATAGCGCCCCGGCGTCAGGTTCGAGATTGGACCGGTGGTAAACGAAACGGCTAGCTATGCAGCGTGCCACATATTCCTCGGCTTCACGGCTGGACTCATCTCCTGCGCTGGAGGATATAAGTCTTCGGACTCGCCAGACTTTGAACAGTAACGCAGCTGCGCTGGACATTCTTTCACTACGGGACTTCGTCATTCATTCGTTCTTTTGCCTTTTCAGTCACCCTTTTGTCAACTTTTGACTAGTCACTCATTCCAAACATCACTACTCGCATCAATATATACAATATGAAGTCCGTAGCTGTTCTCCCCGCCATTCTGGCGCTGGCCAACGCCCACGCCACTTTCCAACAACTCTGGAAGAACGGAAAGGATCTTGAGAGCACCTGTGCCAGGCTGCCACCTTCCAACAGCCCCGTTGAGGACTACACAAGCACTGCGCTGCAATGTTGGTACCCCTCGAGTTCCTACTTTTGATCTGTGCTGACATCGATTCAGGCAACGTTAGCCCTGCTCCCGCTGAAGGAAAGTGCGACTTCGAGGCTGGTGACACAGTCACTATCGAGATGCACCAGCACAACACCCGCGACTGCAAGGAGGAGGGCCTTGGTGGTGCTCACTGGGGTCCCGTCCTCGCATACATGTCCAAGGTTGAGGATGCTGCCACTGCCGATGGTTCCAGCGAGTTCTTCAAGGTTTACCAGAACACCTGGGCGAAGAACCCAGATGCCACTCAGGGCGACAACGACTTCTGGGGCACCAAGGACCTCAACTACAACTGTACGTACGGCATCATGTCTGGAAACTACTGCTAACAATCCAATAGGCGGAAAGCTTGACTTCACCATCCCCAAGAACATCGCCCCTGGTGACTACCTCCTCCGTGCTGAGGCTATCGCCCTTCACGCTGCAGGCCCCGCTGGTGGTGCTCAGCATTACATGACCTGCTACCAGCTTACCGTCACCGGTAGCGGAACCCTCGAGCCCAAGGGTGTCACTTTCCCAGAGGCCTACTCCAAGACTGGTCCTGGTCTTGGTTTCTCCATCCACGCCGATCTCGACTCGTACCCCGCCCCTGGCCCTGCGCTCATCGCTGGTGGTACTGAGGCTACCCCCGAGCTTCTCACATTCGGCGAGCTCGCTGGTGCCCCCGCTGCTACCGCTACCGGCGGTGCTGAGACTCCTGCTGCCTCCACCCCGGCCTCCGCTGTCGCCTCTTCCACTGCTGCTCCCGCTTCCACCAGCGCCGCTGCCGAGGCTGAGCCTTCTTCCGTTGCCCCAGTTGAGGTCTCTTCTGCCGTTGAGAGCTCCGCTGCCGCTACCTCTGCCGCCGCTACCTCTGCTGCCGCTTCTTCTGCCGCTGCTCCTGAGGTCTCCAGCGTTGTCGCCCCCTACCCCGTAGCCAACAGCACCTCTTCGATGCTTCCCGGCACCGTCTCTAGCGCTATCGTTGCTCCTACCACCATGCTCACTGCTGTCCGCCCCACTCCTACCGCTGAGCCATCTGGTCCCATTAAGGAGTACTACCAATGTGGTGGCCAGGGCTTCAAGGGTGACAACACGTGCGCTGAGGGTCTTGAGTGCAAGGAGTGGAACCCATACTACTCCCAGTGCGTCAAGCCTGAGGCCAACAAGCCTGGTCCTTCCAAGGGTCCTATGCCCTCCGCTCCTGCCCCCAAGCCCACTGCCGTTGCCCCTAAGCCCACCGGCGCTGCCCCCAAGCCTACCCCTGAGGCTCCCAAGCCCTCAGCTGCTAAGCCCACCCCTGCTGCCCCGATCGAGGCCGAGCCTACCTCCGTCGCACCCGAGGCCGTTGAGCCCACCAAGCCTGCTGCTTCATCCGCACCCGAGGCCGGTGCTGGTGAGAAGACCTACACCCTCGAGACCTTCATTGCTTTCCTTGAGCAGGAGGCTGGTAGCGAGTCTGCTGCCAAGATCCGCCGCATGATTGAGGCCCTTCAGTAGACAACTTCGCATCTTTTGCGATGTTCATCTTGTATATATACTTACCCTAGATGGGTAACTTCGATTCTTGTAGCGATGTTTTTGGAATGATACTTCTACCTCTTCATGATCACCACCCTGCTCTGCAAACTTTGCTATTACGTCTATTGCATGCCGTTTCATACACTTGGTCGGGTGCATACCACTGCAATTCGTTCATGCGCTTGTCCTCCGTGTTCTCGTCTGTATGTTGCCGCGGCCAATTTGAAGCTGACTCACGTCCTGATAACGCGCCCACTCGAGACGAGTCGTTCTCAAGAAATCAATGCCACTAGGTGCGGCCACAGCTCGTCCTGTCTTAGCTTGCTGTTTACAGTATATATGATATTAAATACTGATAACTGGGCAGTCTACAAGATTATGTATCCTCCCAACCCAAATTATTTGTAGAATGCGATACGAGTTCCGCAGCATACCGTAGAGGTCTCTGTTCCATCAAACATCGATGAGCGACAAGTCATGCGGTATCGTATGCCTCAGAGGTGCTCGATCACCACAACACCAGTCGATCTCGTATTGGTGTTGCCGTGCAGATACCGCGTTTTGCATGCGCTCAATCTTATCTCTCTTGCATTTTGATCAATTACAAGCGTTGTAACCCAGAAGATGGTGGAGCTGTTGTAACAAAAACCATTGCTTTTGATTCTATACCGCTATTTCGCCCTCTAAAACTGTGAATGCCAATCTTTTCTCGACCAATCGACCAGGACCCCAACCCATTCTTGAATTCCACTCCGATCCCTCAATAACAACCGCTAATCCTCGTCTTGAACTTCAGAGATCTGCATCCGGGATTCAGTCGCCCCAGACCGATGCCACGTGTAGCGCCTCTCACAACAGCGGAACTCCGTGATGAAGTAATGCAATTTCTCCAGCCCGGTTGCCTTGATAAAGTCCAGCATGGTTGCGCCTTTCTCATCAGATGTGAGATCTGTGAAACAGGCGCAGCGTAATCCAATGATCATCGATGGCTGCTCATGAGCGCCGTGAGTGCCGTGAACCTTGCCCATGGTCAAATTGACAGAGGCGATGTCACGCTCAACAACCTCGAGACCCTTTGGCGGTTGGGCCCAATGGTAGAACAAAGTAGTGAGCAGGTTGCTAGTCTTCCAGCGGCTTTCCTCCCCAAGAGAATGCTCGGTAAGCCAAGGAAGCGACTTCCGTTGCTTGGAAAGCTTTCTCAGAAGCGGCAGGATGTCCAATCTCACATCTGGAAGGAGGGGTTGTTTTATGATGGCCGTGAGCGTCTTTCCAAGAGTCAACGCATTTTCTGTTGTGCCGAAAGCGTAAAGGTATTGGCTAAGATGCCGCGCTGAGATGGTGAAAGGTAGAGTCCTCTGTTGTAGAGGGCGGAATTCCCGACGCAATATTTGACAAGCCTGGATAAGACCCCAGTATTTGCACTGCCCATGCGCTGCTCTCCAGCATGTATCGAACTTGGACTGCCAGCTCTCGAGTTCCTCAGTCATCGGGCAAAGGTCCATAACGAGATACATCCTACTTAGCTGGCGAGAGGCCTTGATTAGCATGTATGTTAGACGGATTCGACGACCATCAAGTTCTTGCATTGTGTCGGCTAGGGCGAGTTCGTAGATACGATTTCTGATCTCTATTCGAATGTCAGTACCTTCATCTCTTGAAATCAAGAGATCCCTACCTCCAGGTAGGCTGAGAAGTGGAGACTTGTTGTCGGCAACGTCTTTACGAGCCCGCTTAGGAGGGGGATCCTTGAGATCAAGAAGTGCGTTGCCTTGGCGCTTTGGTCTGGTAAGCGGTCAGTCTTGAAGCTGTTGAACGAGCAGTGGACGCTTACGCCATGGCTGTTGGGTTGCGACGTCTCGTCAAGAAACTTAGAAAGGTTGAACGTATTGTGGTGGAGGTTGCAGCGATCGCAGCTTATATGCTTGTTACTAGTCGGTGTGGCACGTGCGTATAGTCGGATCGAAGGTCAAGGTGATAGTAGAGGTGAGAGGAGATTATATGGTGCTGCTGATGTTACAAACCGGCCTGATGAACCGATTACCCGATGCGACACCGGGCTCATCTTTTGGGCGGTAAGCGTGCGGTACTCCCAGTGACGTAGCTAAGTTTAAATACTTCCAGCCCCACAAGCCGGCCTTTACACAAGCCCTCCTTCCGTAAATCTCTCCCCATATCTCCCGGAGGGTTCATATTTACCACCGGTGTATTCGGATTACGATTACTAACCTTGTTTGTTTGCGCATAATCTTGCGTGGAGAATACAGCAAGAAGTGCTGCCATAGCATGCGCGCCTGTTCTCCTGACAATGATGATGGGTATGTAGACGTTGAGCGGGTTGTGCCACCATGCCATGTATGTGATGAGTGCGAACGTAGACTGTAACACCGTTGTCATCTCCAGCAGTGGTCTTTGGTATTCCTGGAGAGACCAGAGGAGGATTTGTGGGCAAGAACTCGATAGTTGAGAACGAAGTGTCGCTTTCGTGAGTGGGTTCGCTTTGACACGATCTGCGAGTGTTGAACTGGAGACGTCAAGGATGGAGGCGCGTTTATGTTGTTACTATGTAGGCAGAGCTTGTTGTTAAAGGGTAGGCGTGGCACTGCTGTCGTACGAGTGGACGAAGGTCGCAGCTTCCCTCTGAGGTTGACAGCCGAAGACCCTTTCGCCCAGGTTTGCGCGCGTGACGTCAACGGAGTCAGTAAGGAAACTTCGACCAACATGTGTCGTCGAGACCGCCATACTCATGATATGTCGCAGGTCCCTCGAAACATGACGCTGCAACCGACGTAACATACTGTGGGGGTATTCACTATACTTTCCATTTCTGTGCATTGATTCTCATGATAGTGTAAATCTCCAGAGTTATACGTGCATTGCTACGCTATGAGATCTGCTTCAATCGAAGGATTGCGGCTTCTACGACGGCACGTCGCTAGTCCAAATCTTTGGCTATCACAAATAACTTTCGCATCTTGACACTTGCCCTCGTTATCCTATGGATGCGTCACGGAGCTTGGCCCGTGAACTAGCGCGAGTCGGTACAGCATGACCCCGTACCACTCTGCCGCACCGGTGGTGTACGTGAAGCGCTCATGCCCGCAGCGAAACTGCGTGATCGTGTTGTTAAGTTGTCGTAGACCAAACCCAGATATCAACCTCCTCATATGAGCGTCCATGGTCTGGTGCGTCTGCGACACGAAAACATTTGCGTCCAAATCTATAACCAGCATCGGTCTGTCGTTCGGCGGGTCGTCGCGTTCTGCATCCGGGCGCTTGACGAAGGTAATCTTGGTGATACCAGATTTTGCTTCAGCAGAAATACCAAGTGTATGACCATGCCACCAGAACCAGATTAGGGCAAACAGACTGTCACAGTCCCAGTATCGCTCTCCACCGTATATAACGGGGTGGTCATCGATCAGTCGCGGTTGCTTCAGCTCACGGAACCTCTCCAAGACTGGAAGCAAGTCTGCTCCATCCTCTGAAAGTGGAGATTGCGAAATGTTCGCAACAGACTGACCGATAATCTTTTCTTCTTCGTTGGATCCAAAAGCAGCGAGGCATTGACCAATCTGCCCAAGATCGATAGAGAACCCAATTTCGCTCACGTACAGAGGACGAAATTCTTCTCGCAGCGTACGACAGGTTTGGGTCAAACCGAAGTAAGGACGACGATCGTGTGCGACAGCCCATTGCTTAGCCGTCTTGTAGCGTTTCCGAGGTTTGATGGACGTGTATCTGAGATAGATGGGCTCATCGTTGTCGAACGTCCTATACAACCCTCCACGACGTTTCGGTGCTTTTGATGTCGTGCCTTTCTTGTGCTCCTTCACATCTTCCATAATGTACTCGTAGATACGGTTTCTTAGCTCTACCATCCGGTTAGCTAGACTCATGAGGTTCTTTTGTCGATGTCACTCACCTCCAGGGAGCTTCAGCAGCAGAGACTTGTCGTTGATCACCTCTTTGCGAGCGCGCTTGCGGCGGGTGCTTGTCGCAGCAGGAGGTCCGGCATCAACGGCAGGCTCGAGTGCCCGTTTTCTTCCACTGAAAGGTTAGCGCAAAAGCGATAGTAGGGTTGATGGGTACTTGCGCCATGTTCATTGGCGTGGAATCGTGCCACTCGCGGGGGTTGATGGTGTAGTGGTGTAGTGGAGCAAGTTAGGATCTGGCAGAACTAATGATTTAAGCTCCAAGACGCTTTGACGCATCGCCTGCGTAATGCGATGAAAGTGAGTGGTGATGGTGAACAACCCCACGGGGAGGATGGTGAAGATGAGCGCGCAATTTGATGCAATCGGGAGATAGCTTGAGAGATGCCATAGAAGTATCCACGTTCAGCGCTCATGCTGTAGGGTCGTACCCGCTTGTTTCGGTCTGGTGAAAAGGTCCCAGACGTCTCTTCGAGGATCCGTCTTGGAGATCAAAGTAGCTTTGTCGAAGAACAGCGCATTGCCACACCGCCTCTCCCCACCCACGTGTCCAGGAAAGCTTCTCTTATCTGGCTTTGTCGCTCTTTCTCTTGTAGGGCCCATATAAAGTGCAGAATGAGACCAGCGCGCACAGGCCGGGGATGATAGCTGCAAGAATAAGATGAGATTGATTTAATACATTAATGAAAGTAAACATTAACGTGCAACGTATTGCGGAGTATCATGAAAGCACAGTAAAGCCGCCCCAGAACCACCATGGTCTAATACCCAAACGCCATGCCATCGCTATTAGTGTCCAGACTGAGCAACATATGCTATCATGTCTCTTACAACCTGAACTTGGCGCTCATCTTCTTAGTGAAAGCCATGTTGAACGCCTGCCTCTTCGTGGTCACGAAGCCATTGGGGACCAAGCTCGAGCAATCTTGGAGCTTGCTGGCGTCGCTTCCAATGACGGCGAATCGGTCCCACGCGCTAGTGAAGGCGGTAGACCAGCTGTTCGCGTCTTCAGCGAAGTTGGACCAGGTGGTTGATGTCTGCAAAGATAGTTAGTGACGGATCAGGTGAGGATGTTGAGATCGTGAACACATACCTCTGAAGAATTTGACATGAGAAGATCGCTCTGGAGACTGTAAGGGGCCTTGCGGTCCTTGGTCTCTTGGTAGAAGGTGTTGTCGTATCTGAAAGGAGTCGAGTCAAGACCCTTTCCAGCTTGCGATGGGTCGTCGTGGAACTGGACTGCCACACTGTGCGCACCCATGAGGGCAACGACATCATCGGATGAGAAGCCCTTCGCAGCAAAGGCGCCCAAGATGCTTTCGAGGGTGCCACGGCTGCTGGGTACACTCCCGACAGGCGCGGCGTTTGAGCTGTCCTTGCGGCCAACCAGTGCTTGCACTCTGGGGCCGAGCGGGCAGGCTGCGATTGCTTGTGCGCCGGCGAATTGGATCATGTCTGCTGCGCTGACTTGGTACTTGTCGCTCCAGTCCTTGAGCTTCGTGCAGATAGCTGAGAGACCGGCGTTCTCTGATCTTCCACACTCGTCTGTAAGAACGAGACTGCCGTCACAGCCATTGTTGATGCAGTCGTGGAAGGGGGCACGGAGGGCTTGGTGAGTATCCGCGCCACAGCCAGCAAAGTCGGCTTGAAGCTCGGTGGCGACGGCAGTCCAGACGGAAGGACAGCTAGAGCTTTGGCGAGGCCATAGAGAGAAAGCTGAAGACGATGTCGCCGTGAGGGCAACGAGGGTGATGGCGGAGTAACGCATGTTGGAGAAGTAGCGAAGGTCCTTGGAGATAGTGTTGTGTTGCTCAAAGATCCGACTTCAACGATCGTAATGATACCAGTATATGAACGCAAGGCTAGCGAATTTGGAAGAAGAAAGAAAGAAGAAACCGTGCTGAACTGTTGAGCCTGACGAAACCAAACTCGAGAAAGTCCAAAGAAATATATACCCAAACACCAACGTTCGCCGCTCTCAACGGCTGACCGTGAGATGGGTCGCGATCAAAATTAGACCGATGGTGATGACAGCCGTACCGACGCATCCGCGCAAAACTGTAGGAAATTCGATAAACACTAAACAGCGATCTTACCCACCGGCAATCTACAGTTCCTCACCCTCTGCATCTCTTGTATCCATTCTGACCGATTCGAGCCGTACCCACTTCTAAGATCTGACGATTCCGGTCCACGGCATTGGTGGATGGGGGGTCGTGTAAGCCGTTGGCGGCCTCGCGCTACATGCGACTTCCTGCCTAGTATCGCGCACCGGAACACGTTCCCAGTTACTAATCTCGAGCTACAGCAAGGCCCGGACCCTGACAGGTGTGATAGACGTATCTTCAGCGCTGGCGCTGACAAGTGGCTTCAAGGTTTTCGCGGTTGTGGAATGTTGATCTTGGCGCTTTCGCTGTGTTGTTGTCGGTGCTCAAAATCCCCGACGTGAGATCGACAGCATCGGCACAAGGGTGATCCACAGAATGTTTCCAGAAGCAGTGCATTCGTCGCACAGTCTGCTCGGACCTCAGCATGGAGAGCCGAATTCGTTTTTTCGTCGTCTCGTTTGGGCACGATGAGATTCTGAGTGCGTACTGTCAGGTCTGAGGGTCGTTGCTGACACGGCGAGGCATTTCGCGATAGTTTGACAAGACGTCAGGGCTCGCCCGCAGCGCGCTACTACACGGTTCCATAATTAGATTGGGTTCTACCAGCGATTCCATCCCGATTCCATCTCATGCAGGCCCTGCTCCTTCATACACAGATTCAGCCAGACCCTGGAGTAGAGTGATCTATTCCCAAGTATTCGGTACTGTGCTACCTGCGCAGACGCAGGCGAATGCGAGGCGTCCTGCCGGCAAAACCTTGGTGTTCCGGTCAGCGCTACCCCACTACCCACTCATTAGAGCTCCGATGCATGCATGTTCTCGCTAGATGTCGGGATGGTGGATGCGATGTTGATCGATGAGAGATCAAGCTTTTTTGGTGGCGGTAGTGTTGTGGAGCAACTGCATGTTCGTGTAGACATCTCGCTCGGTGGTGTGTGCCGAATCAAGGCCATCATCTTAGTCGGTGGGGACTGACCGGTATCTAGGTCGTTCACGAACGAGCGGAGGTGAAATGAGTTAGGATGTATTAGTTATCAACTGTATAAGCCTTCCAGGCGATGCGCAATAGTCTAGCCTCGTAAGCACATCAGCAGACGGTGGTATTCTTTCCATTTCAGTTTGAAGGGTAGAATCCCTCTCGTATACCTAGGATCTTTACAGGCAGCCCATCTTTAGAGATTGACATCAACGCATTGTACTAGACCTGTATGGTACCCCCGGTCGACGATCAGAGATCGACTCAGATGTCCAGGTCACAGCCCACAGCGCCTTCAGCTCGAACCGGTCGATCCCCTCTCCAGCTTGACCATTTCTTACTTCTTACCATCCTTGTTGTGCGTCAACTTTTGCCTCTTCGACGCTGCCGCCTCCTCTTTCGTACGAGGAGGTACTTGCCACCAGTCTGCATCCACTTCCATCACGTCTTTGTCGATCTCGATTATCTCATGGTCTTTGATCTCATGAATCCGCCCCGCGGAACGGGTTGCCGCTGTGGGGAACGAGGAAGGAAATCCCTCAGTCCAGGACTGCAATGCCGCCTTCGGACCCGTCCCTTTAGTCGTGAAGCCCATCTCTTTCTCCAGGGTCTCGACCTTCTTCTTCAAGAATTCGTTGCCTGCTTTGCACAAGAACTTGCTCAGTTGCTTAGGAGCGAGCTGGCCGTCGAGTCTTTTCCCAATCAACTTCTCCGCAATCCCCATGAGCAATTGGTCGTTGTCACCGCGGCACGACCTGACAAGCTCTGTAACCTGCTGGGAGCTCAGCGCAAGCTTGCCGGCGTTTGTAATAAACTTGTCAGTCAGGTGCTGAACATACTCTGGCGCGTGTAGAGTGTGAACGCAGATGAAGCGGATGCACGTCTCGATCGAGAAGCTTGCTCCGGCAAGAGGCATGAGTGCGGGTGTGCACAAGGCTGTAAGCCACTGTGAGATCGCAACAAGAGCAGCTTCATGGATCCTGATCTGAGCTTCGCGCATCTTGCCCTTCCCGGAGACGAGTTTTGCCTGGCCATGTTCACCTCGCAGCTGTACCGCGGGTACGTCGAAGGTGAAGTTGATTGCTGGTGCGCGAGGGTGCTTGACGAGGAATGCGAGCGCCTTTTGAGACACAGCCATCAAAGCAAAACGTGGCGCTGAGCCTACGCGACGGCCATAAATTGTGAAGTCGATGAGCCCACCGCGAAGCAGCGAAAAGCGCATCATCGGGTTCCACTTGGTCACGTCGACAGGATTGGCTTCAAGCTGTTGCAGGAATAGGCGGACATCGGACTGCGAGAGTTGAGATGCAGATGTCATGTTGACCGTGGCCGGTACGGTTGAGGAGTGTATCAAGTCGTGTTGCGTTGAGGTGGGTGGAAACCAGAATATCACCCGATGGACTGTGATAGTAGTGAGCCGAATGGGCGTTGATTAATGACAACGCAAGAGCAGAGTGGTGTAGTTTGGTAACCGTGGGTGAGTCTCTCATTCACTTGGTACTGTGGTACTGGCTCTGGCCAATGACAGACCAGCGTGATGATGAGGGTCAACGAAGCCACTTTCTTGTGAATTAGAAGCACCTGCTGTAGTATCGAAGACAGCAATGAACTCATCCACCATATCGGTCATTGTACGATGTCCTCGGGCCACGTCCAGACGTCGGACTGGATGCTCTGCCCCCGAGTGCGAGCTGAAGCGCAGATGTTCGAGATTCCCACACTCCTTTAGAGCGTGTAATAATGACGACCAAATGCCAGTCACAAGGCGAAGGTCAGAGAATACAGCTCGTCGCAATGTCGCGGCCTGGCTTCTGATGATAGCGACTAGGTCGTCTCCATGCAATGCGCAGAACATGAGCTGGAGTACTTCTAGCTTAAGGCAAGCGCAAGAAGCAACCATGTGGTGAACGATGGCTGCGGCATAGTTAGTCCGATCTAGACTCATCGTGAAGCTTTTCAACTTTGGTGCAGTGGCAATGATATTTCCGACACCGTTCTGCCAACCAGGTGTGCGAGAAAGGTCATCGTTTCTAGACAAAGCAGAGAGAGTGAGAACTTTGAGTTGCGAAAAGCGATGATGTAGTGTCCTCAGAGATTGCGTAGGTATTTGGAGTGCCGAGAATGGTAAGATGGCCTCTTTATGTAACGCAGTCCCACGCTTGCACTTGGCCATACGAAACTCGCTCAGACGGACCTCGCTTTTGACGATGGCATCTATGACGACCTGAAAGCATCTACTACGGAATAGGCAATCGGTTGCGGAAAGAAGACTGCTGGATTCCGCGAGCTGGGATCCCCTCGGATGGAAGTGAATGGCCGTCAAGTTGGTGAAGCCTCGCAATGCTCGAACAAGGCCATCGTACAAGCGGGTTGGATACTCGCATTCCACGACATATGTGAATGTGGGTGCTTCGTCTTTGATATCTTTGTCTTGGATGCCAGGTACCCTGGGGAATCGTTTGGGTGGCGGAAACCTGCCGACACGGCTAATAGCAGCGAGGACACTATACTCCGCTGATGTCAGGAGCTGGATCTGTAGGACTTTGACAGAACCACGCAAATGAGGCGACTGGGCAACGTTGACGAGACGGTTGAGAGAGGGGGGTCCAAGAGTAGTCTTTAGCCGGGAGAAAGCGCGTTCTACAAATACAGAATGGGTGAGGAAGCGACATCTCTTGGATGCAAGACGAAGGCTCTTGTGAGACGAGAGATTAAGAGTGGCAGCAACGAGCTCGAACAGCTCGACAGGAAGGCGTTCTAGGTGCGAAGTCATGATGGCATGCTGACTGGAAGCTGGGGCTGTGAATCAAGGATGTTGACGGGGACGGGTGAAGGGTGGCACATGCTGTCAGGGCCTAGCCCGGAGCTAAGAGCCCGTGATAGCGTCAACCCCGCGAGTCCAGGAGCAGCGCACGACCTCAACCCAGCGAGCGACGAGAAGCCACGCTCCTTCCGAGTGAACCGCACTCTCGTTCACCTTATCGGCTTCATCTACTCTTTTTCTTCCATCACGCTCCCCATCACGGCTGCATCGCCCGCGGGTGCCGAACACCGGCCACAACGCAGTGGAGCCCGACAAAGATTTGACACGACCGCACCTGCCGCCAACAGCTCAGACAACCACCATGGACTCGATGCGCAGCCTTAACAAGTCGCTGCCCAAGACAAGAGGGCAGCACGCCGTGCACCAGTCCTTCCGCACCGCTGCCCTCAACGTGACGCATCTGTACAAGTCCGCGCTTGCCGACATCGACAGAGCCCGTACCGACGGCTACCAGGAGGCTCTCGATGAGCTGCTCACCTTCCTCGACAAGGAGAATATTGGTGTGGGCGACGGCGAGGGCTGGCGGATACGGCAGTGGGCGACGGAACGACTAGACGGAAGCTTGCCCAAGCAAACGAGCAGCGACAGCGACGACGAATACCTCGACAACAACCGCGCCAGAAGCTCATCCCCCATCATGGACCGAACCCACGGCATGGACGACTCACGCACGCTGGTACCCACGACAGTCACGGAAACACGCTCTGACTCTGCGCCGCCCCTCCAGATGGAAGCTTCTACGACCGAGGCCGACATGTCGCCACTACACCACATCTTCGAGTTCTCTGCCGCACAAGCTCTACCCTCTGAATCGCCAAACGAGACCGCTGCCGCCGACATGTCAGCTGCTGCCCGCCGCGCTTTCCCTGCTTCTCGCCGCCCCACGAACCGCTCGTCTACCCGAAACCTCCAACGATCCGCCGCCCAGAACCTCTTCCAACTAGGCAACGGTGCAGGGCAAAAGAGACGACTCATGAACGACTTTTTCAACGTCGATGGCTTCAACGACCGGCGAGACGGCTCATCAGGCGGAGGATCCAAGCGCGGACGCATGTCATAGCACCGCAGCTCGAAGCCTGAGGGCCTGTCATCGAACTCCAGGCAATGACACGAACGACTGTTCGACGAATCACGACTACTTGCATCATACCCAGACGGCGCACAGGGCTAGTGGATCATTTTTCATACGCATTGGGGGAGGCTTACTAGACGCATTCTGTGGTGTTATTGATTTCGGAGGCTATATACCTTTTCGCATTTTCTACGGGGTGGGACATCATTCGGGGTGGAAGTAGATAGTGTTTTTTTTGGAGGGTTTGGTGTTAATAGCATTACATGTCCTCAACTGTTGTATGCCATATGCAGTGACTCATCTCGTTCGTGAAGACGTGACTCCCAAACGCCGATGCATGTCCAAGTTTGTACTCAAGTCTTTCCGCCTACAATACCTAGGTATACGTTCCCGGCTTGTGACCTTCAAGCGTCTCCTTGTATCCCTCCCGTTATGCAAACCACCGATATAACCCCAGGCCCACCATGACGGCGCTTGTTCCTGTTATTGCCATTCCCCTACTCCGCATTCCGAACATGCTTTTGCTGGCTCGTATCGCGGCTTCGTTGGCTTTGATCTGTGAATGGCCCGAGACGTACGTGAAGGCGCCGAGGCCCAGAAATGTAGCGCTCCCTAATAACCATGTCAGTACTGAGGGAGATACAGTGTGTTCTAGAGCACAATACCGACTATGCGACATGGGGTGCAATCTTCAAATTCCGCTCTGTCATTCTTGAGAGCCTCTTTGAAGGTCGGCGCGGAAGGAGGTGGCAGTGCCATTATCGCGACGCTAGACAGACAGCACCGCGACTAACTCAGATGCAACACGCTGGCTCTATCGTGTAAAGATCTTGCGACCAGAAGTCTGCATGACATGCTAGGCAGGCAGGGATGTTTCTAGCTCCGGCAGCTCCCCGCCCAAACTGCCCCACGACGCGGACCTCACGTCTTCCCACGCGCATGGCTCGCAGCTGACATTTCCCACCATGAGCGCAATCGAAGCTCTCTACATCTTTGATGAGCACAAGTAAGACGCGTCTATTCCAGCGCTTACGTCATCCGTCGCTAACATCTTCAGCACTCCACTGCTCGAACACACATACCTCAACCGCCCGCCTCCATCCTCCGTCCTCCTGCCTCTCTATCTCGCGCATCCTGCCCCCCGGCCACCGCTGATATATCTGCCCAACACCAATCCTCCGACGCTGCTATACAGCATAATACAAGACCAGCTTCTGTTCCTGTGCCCGGCATCAGCAGACACCGATCCCCTCGCCGTCCTCACCTTCCTCCACCGCCTGACCGACGTACTCGAAGACTTCCTAGGGTCACCACTACTGGCGAGCAAGATCGAGGGAAACTACGATGTCGTCGCGCAACTACTCAGCGAAATGGTGGATGGCGGAATCATCGCGAACACAGAACCGAACGCGCTGAGAGATGTCGTCGAAGCGCCGAATCTACTCAAGAGTCTACTGGGAGGAGTGGGTCTGCCTTCTTCAACACCGAGCTCGCTCGCACCCTCTGCTACCGGAGCATTTGGTCTAGGGGGTGGAAGAGCAAGCCCGCGATTGGGACCATCACCGAGCTCAAGTCAGACAGGCTCACCGGTGCCGTGGAGAAGAGCGAACGTCAGGCATACAAGCAATGAGATGTATGTGGATATCGTGGAAACACTAGAGGTCACCTTGTCACCATCTGGTCGCCCTCTAGCCGCGATGGCCAACGGTACGATCGCTTTCACGGCAAAGGTCTCCGGAATACCTGATCTCATACTACACTTGGGCTGCGCAGGTGGCATACAGAACGCGGTATCATTACCCGTCTTCCATCCTTGCGTCAGACTCAACCAGTGGAAAGCGAGGCCAGGGGAACTTTCCTTCGTACCGCCAGATGGTCGCTTCGTGCTCGCTGGGTACGAAGTCGACTTGCTGGGCTCTGCGGCATTAGATGCCTTCTCCACAGAGAAGAACGCGAAAACCGCAAGTCCAAAACTAAACATACCAGCTACAGTATCCGTTCACCCCTCCCTCGGCCCGACCGGCACAGACTTCGAAGTCAAACTCCAACTCAACCCACGCTTCAGCGGAAACAAGCCCTCCCAACCCAGCGCAGCGAAAGCTAGCCTGGGACGCGTATCCTCCTCTACAGGAACCACGTCCGCCCCTGCGATCGAAGAAATGACCATCCACATCCCGCTTCCAGCGTCCGTCAGAAACGTCGCCGATCTACGCGTCGCGCGCGGAACAGGAGATGCAGGCTACGCGCCCGGCGACAGGGCAATAGAATGGCGGATCAGCAGTCGCGAGATAAGCAATCTCATGTCGCAAGACCGCGGAGGAGGGGTCGGTGCTACGGCTACATTGCGTGGGACTGTGATTGGGCAGGATGACCCATCCGCGGAGGACGCGTTGGACGTCGGTGGACCTGTATCGTTCGCGACGTCGACATACGATTACGATGATGATCAGGGCACACAGGTCTCTTTACCTGCGGCTTCGTCGTCCAGCGCACCCAAGCCGGACAGCGATGCGAAGATCAAACAGGCAAACAAAGTCCTAATGCCGAGCTGCGCGACCATCAGCTTCTCCGTCAAGGGTTGGCTGCCGAGTGGGATCAAGGTGGAGAGTTTGAATGTAGACCAAAAGAAGAGTAAAGGTTTGGGTAGTGGCGTTACGCCATACAAGGGCGTCAAGTATCTTTGTGTGAGTCGGAAGGGTGTAGAATGTAGATGTTAGAACATACACTTGGCTATGACGACAGGATCAAAGAGACAAACAACTCCCAATGAGAGATATTCAAGAGTTTGCTGCACAGATGTATCACGTATGAAGGGTGTTTGTGTCCATCGATGACATTACCAACTATAACTACCTGACATTCGTTGATGGCGCTGAAAATACACCCAGACATCCTATACTGCCTTATCAATGAATCAAGCTTTCGCTCTATATACCCTTTTTCGCTGTAAATGCAAAGCACTACAGAGCATACAGTACTCTCGCTCGCTTGAACGCATTGGAATGCGCTCGCGTCGCTGAAGTCGTCAATCATCCGTATTTTTTTCCACGGTGTACTCCATCCCTCCCTCCTGTACACCGCGTCATGTCACTAGGCGGACCTAGTGGAGAGTGGTAAACAACGCTTCACCAGGCGCCGGAGTAACGGGCTTGTTGCCAGGCGCTGGCGAAACAGGCTTGTTGCTCGGTGCCCGCTGTCCACGGTTCCCACCCTTGCCGCCGCTGCGATCGTTGCTCCCACCACGAGCGCTACCCTCGGGCGAGTTCCAGGTCTTACGTGGACGACCTCCGATCCGCTTCTCAATCTTCTCCACTTTGTCCTTCAGAGACTGATGCTTGACCATCAACTTCTCCAGGTCGGCCGCTCCCTTGGCGTTGCCAACCTTCTTCTGGTTGACGAGGTTGTGGACCATGCAGTCAAACACCGGGTCGTTCTCCGGGTATGCCAACTGGCAAAGAAGGTCCATGAACTCGAAGGAAACGTCCTGGGCACGGATCCGGTCGCAGAACTGTTTGGTGAACTGGGCGACGTAGGTATTATTCAGACCGAGAACGCGGGCAGCGCGGCAGATATGCAAGTTCTTCTTGTCATATACCGTCTCAGTCTGGAGGCGGACTGAGTAAACCCTGCTCTGGTACGTCATCTCGTCCATCCATTTTAGATGCGCCGTTGCAGCATCGGCGTCCATCGAGCCGGCGGGGAGGTTCCAAGAGGTTGCGTCGGGATTGGCAGTGAAGAACTTGTAGGCCTTGCCTGAGCATTGCATCAGGACGTACTTTGGGATGGTAGCCAGCTTGGTCTCTCCAAGCTTCACAATAACCTCGGGACCGTTACCGAAAATAACGCGCTGCCCGTGCGACATGTGACGGATGTCAGCCGCAGGGTTGAGCTCGGGCATAGTACCGGTCTTGTCGCGCGCCTGCCTAGACGAGTGGCCCCAGGGGGTGGTATGGCCATTTAGCTCAGCAACGGGCGACGATTTAGGTGCAATCTTCGCCGCAGCCGACGCGACAGGCTTCTTCCCGTACTTGGACATATCGATGCCGAAGGTCAGGGTCTTAGGCTTCGGGGCCGGAGGAACGACCTTCAGCGTCTCCTTCGTCACGAAATTGGGGAACGTGGATGTGATGAGCGATGGGCCGCTGGTGGTCTTTGCCGGTTTGGTCTCCTCGGACTGCTTGGTGGTGACGGTCGCAGGCTTCTCGTCCTTGACCTCCTCAGTCATGGGAGCATCAACGATTTCAAAGCTGTCTGAATCAGAAGCCACAGATGCGGTCTTCTTAGTCTTGGTCTCCGTCTCACTAACAACATCGGTGCCATTGGACTTGATGCTCTCCGACACCACGTTCTTGGGCTCATCCTCGGGGGTCACCTCGTCGTTTGTGGGCACCGGGACGAGTGCGGCCGACTCCTGCTCGAGGCTGCTAATGGTGGCAGCCTTCTTTGCTCGCTCAAGGTTGTCGATGGCCGAAGCCTTCTCTTCAAGCTCAGCCTTCAGACTCTTGATCTGGCTGTCCTTCTCTCCAGCCTCGCGCAGAAGCTGCTGGTTGTGAGCGAGATGGTCGCTATTCGTCTTCTTGAGCTTCTCGATCTCAACATCCTTCTTTTGGACATCCGTCTCGAGATCGCCAATATGAACGTCCTTATCTTGGACTGCGCCTTCCAGCTCCGCGATACGAAGCGTCTTGGTTTCGATCAGCGCGTCCAACTCTTTGATGCGCTCCTCTTTGAGGGTAACGGTGGTCTCGAGGGTAGCAATCTTCGGATCCTGGCTCATGAACTCGGCGATGAAGGTGTTATCATCATCGTCCTCGTCGGCCCAGTTGGTCTTCTTGCCAGTGGCAGCCTTTGGGTAAAAACCCTTCGATGCGCCGTTGGTAGTCTGACCGTTCGTCATTCCCTTCAGTACCAGACCCTTCTTCTGTTGGGGATCCGGTTTCGACTTGGCCGGCGCCTCTGCGATCTTGGGGTTCGGGGAGTCGGCGGACTTGATTTTGCTGCCGCCAGCAGCCCAGAAGGAAGGAGCAGTCGCCATCTTGTGAGATCGCTCCACGAGTGGGGTAGGAGTCGGGAGTTGGGTCGCTGTTCGTGAGGTGTGGGAAGTGGAGGTGAGGGCGAAGCTCGCTTGATAGACACAGATCGCCTAAGGAAGGCTCAAGTAGCGCAAGGTCGACAGAAGATTTTGGCGGTAGGAGCTTCGGAAGACAAGAGCTGTAGCTGCGCAGTTGAGGAGCGAGTGTGGAGAGAGTGAGAAGAAAGGTGAGGGCGGGCGGATTATGTACTGGGGAGGGAGCGGCTAGCAAAATTGAGAGGTGCGTGTGAAGGCGGAAGTGTGCGAGGCGAGTCCAAGCTTTTCGTGGTGTTGAGGGTCGAGTGAAGACAACCTTGGAAGGAAAGAGCGCCACACGAGGGAAAATTCGACAGAAAGCAGGCGCAGTCAAGCTGTCAAAAGCTGAACCTAGTTTCACCGCACATGCAGACAAGCATTGTACCGCTTCCAAAGCTTTTCACAATTCCAGGCAAAGCATGGTAGCGATGCGTTTACGTGCGCTGATATTTGAGTTGACGAACCTCTGATAGGACGAGACCACGGATAGACGAGTTTGCCATGTGCCTATCCGATTCAAGGAAGTAACCCCATCCAATCCCAAGATAATCGCTACTGCGAGCCAATACGCCCACTCATACTCACAGAGTGAATGAGCGATAGCATATATACGCCTCCCGGTATGCACTCAGCCATGATGCCTCTACGACCCTGTTTCCCCGTGCACTCCAGGCCTAGAGTTGACAGAAGTCGATATTCACTCTCCATCTCTTTCCGGGAAGCTCCTGTATTCATTCACGCTTCCTTTCTCGTGAAAGCCTCTTCCCCCTTCATTCGGCATTGCAGCGCGCTCGCTGGGTGTGGAGGAGAAGCCGGTATCGCCCGGGGCGTGGTTCACTGGAGACGTGTCTTCACTGTGACGCATGCCAGGAAGCCATCATCGCGGGGTTTTATCAGGGGAATCGAAGTAGTAAGCACGTATTAATCTTCACAGTGGTGTTCACATGTTGTAGAAGCTACGAGGCGCGAAGCGATGGGGCGGAAGACGCGTCGACGCGACAGGCCTGCGATCCCCGCAGCCGAAGTCCGAACTCGTCAGCCAATGGGAGTTGGAGGAAGTCTACATACACCTACATCTCTCCTGCGTCGATGGCATCCCTTTCTATAAGATTACACCATGTCTCGTCTCGTTTCTCCAGCCTTGCACCGCTGCAATTCTCTCCGAGACCATCCTGAAGGTCAAACCAGTCCGCCACCATGACAACTCAAGCCCGCAACCTCTTCCACCACCTACCTCCGCCAGCGGAATGCCTCGCGCTCTTCATCGCAACCCTCGAGATCGTCCCTTTCGGGATAATAGGTCTACGCAACCCCTCCTTCTTCGCTGATGGCTATGGTCTACCCATCTCAGCCGAATCCGACACATCACCCGCATCTGCGAAACGCTCCAGCAATACCGAAAGCACCTACGATGAGGATCAGAATACCAAGAAAGCCCTGGTTGCAGCAATAGCAGCGCGCAACGTTCAGAACGGTGTCCTGCTGGCAGTCTTTGGTCTGGTACTGCGAGACAGGAGGAGCTTGGGAGTTGCGGTCATGGCGGGATTAGTCGCAACCGTTGCGGATACGGTGATTGTCAGCGCGTATGGAGCGAAGGACAAGATCGCGGGTCACTACGTTGGCATCTTCAACAGCTTGGCGATTGGGGGAAGTTTGCTATACTGGGGAAGGAACGACCCGCTGTGGTAAAGGTACATTCGAAGGTGTACAGGGGATGGAAGGAGAGAATCAGGCACGATGACCCGGCGGCATGAAGCGAGGTGTAGACATGAATCGCGGGGGTTTGCCTAGCGTCCAAGACAACCATCCGCCATCCAGGCAGCAGTCCCTATTCTTATTCCTTCTTCTTTCATTCCTTTCATTCCGTTTCGTACTGACACCTGTTATGGCATGTAAGCACACCATTCTACAACTAAATCCATCGCCCTTCGCAGAATTAGCTGGATATGAACAACCAGATGCGGCAGCACGCGCAGCAGCCGAAACGACATCTGGAAGAGCGCCGAAGAATGTCAAGGATCATCCCATTGGGACATTTCCCGCTCCTCTAGTCCTACCTCACGACGAGCTCAACTATGATCCAGATTCTTTACCGCAGAGTATGAAGGAATGGCTGAACGAGGAGTGTAGGAACAAACTTTCATCGGCGCCAAGAAGGAACAAATTGTATGTGGTGCAAGTGCCTAGGATCTGTTTCAAGGTGGATTTTATGAGGCACTGGGTAGTGCCAACCGGTTGTGAGGAAGTCAAAATCGAGGGTAAAGTCGGACCATCTCCTCCATCTGCGGATCACTTCGTCGACTATCTCACCGCATTTTATCACGATATGCCTGTTCGCCTCTTCCCCACGCCATTGACCTGGACATCATGGGGCTCCAATACCAAGTCCGCCAAGGGCTGTCGAAGTGCCGCTCTGCCGAAGTACATCGGTCTATCACATGGAGATCGTTGTACCAGAATCCGCGTCCGCCCTGCGCCAGACACCGCTTTCCCTGCTCAACTGAATCTAGACGACATCCTCGACACAGCAATCTCAATCCTGCCTGATGACGCTTATGCAATGGTCGTCCTAGTCGACCACGACATTCACGAATCTGACGATGACGACTTCTGTTGTGGTAGGGCATATGGAGGCAGCAGAGTGGCAGTTGTGCAGACTGCGCGATATAACCCAATACTGGATGAACGAAAAGGAGAAGAAATCGACCGAAACCACATGTGGCCATGGAGTCATTGCAAAACCTTTGTCGATGAATTATGTGCTGTAGAGGATGTAAAGGCAAAACCTGCGACGAAGAAACAGAAAGAACTAAGCAAGAGTGGGGCGATGAAAGCGGCTACCCAGGCCGCGACAACATATAAGCCTACATCATCGGTGCAAGAAGTCCAGGCGCTTTGGTTCTCACGCCTCGCGCGTACGGTGTCACATGAGCTAGGACATTGTTTCGCGCTCGACCACTGTGTATACTATGCATGCAATATGCAGGGTACAGGTAGCATGAAGGAAGATGTAAGACAACCGCCATATCTGTGTCCAGTGTGCGAAGCAAAGGTAGCATATGCCATTGCTGGAGAGCTGCACGGTGGCCGCGAAGACGAAAAGAGAGATTGGATCAAGCAGAGGTGCGAGGCTTTGAGGCACTTCTGCAAAAGGTTGGGAGATAAAGATATGGATAGTTCGATGTGGCAGGGCTTGAACGGGTGGCTGCAAGAAAGGATGGTAGTGTTGTAATGCCGATGGCATCCCATGCATCTGTAAATCTGTGAGATAATCACAATTCTTCATGATGCCGATATTCGGAGTGGAGGTCTTGGTCATAGTACGTGTCATTGGCTGTCGCTTCGATGACACGTAAAGCATCGGCTCACGGAATTGCAGCAGCAGAGGAGTATCTCTTCTTACTCGTTCTATTTTGGCGCGACGCAACTATCTCAACCAAGTAATCTGTTGGCTGGAAAAAGACAAGATCGTCGTCTGAGATCCCAAGGACGTGGTTCAGTAAACCTAGACCAACCACCCAAGTTAGAGCCACGGCTTACGGACAATCCGTACTCGATTCTGAACGAATGATGATTGCTGAAAGACATCCCGCCTGCATGATGAGACGCGTGTTGTGGTTCAGTGATGTGTTTTGACCCACGCGGGAAGTGTACCCCTCATTGCCCCACCATGTCCCAACACATGCACCTACAGTGAGCAATTTATCCATACATTACCTCAGTCGACAGTATGAGAAGTAAAGTATAAGTATCCGGCTCTAGCCGTGGCCTCAAGCTGCGTCTCCAATTGCTTCTCAACGTTTTTCAATCGCACATATCCAGCTTTCACCAACCCAATACAACCCACTTTGGTACGATGCTATCATCGAACCAGCAAAGCGAAGCCTTTTCGGCCTCGCTCTTCGCAATGCAGAATTGCATCTCGGTCAAGTAACAGGTGCCCAGCATGGCATCATCAGGTACTCATCTCAACCATCAGAAGCAAAGCATGGCGGGTGTTCAAGTCATCAGCGGATCAGGTCACTCCCCGGGGCCTGATCGTTAATGGCTTGTTCTGAGATCATACCGTTCAAACTTGATCTGGATAATTCCAGCGCGAAGGACTATTGCTGCTTCATGATGACCCCTTCCCCACTATGTTGGCGTACTGACTAGCTCAGCTTCTGCACTCAAGTCAAGATGTCGACTGATAAGATCACCTTCTTGACCAACTGGTGCGCTTTGCATCTTGATCGAGCGAGGTGTATGCTGACTGTGAATAGGCACGCTACGCCATACCACGCTCCCCTTTATCTTGCTCAGAGCAAGGGATACTTCAAGGATGAAGGCATCAAGGTCGCTCTTCTCGAGCCCAATGATCCTAGTGTATGGTCAATACAAGCTGTCTTACTTCATCAGCTTACCATCCCAGGATGTCACTGAGATCATCGGATCTGGCAAGGTCGATCTCGGCTTCAAGGCGATGATCCATACGCTCGCCGCCGCCGCTCGTGGCTTTCCGGTTCAGTCGATTGGCTCTCTTCTCAATGAACCTTTCACTGGTGTCGTGTACCTGACATCGTCCGGGATTACTCCCGACTTTACCACCCTCAAGGGCAAGAAGATCGGCTACGTCGGCGAATTTGGCAAGATCCAGCTCGACGAACTCACTGCGCATTACGGCATGTCACCTGATGATTACCAGGCCGTCCGTGTCGGCATGAACGTGACCCGTTCCATCATCACTGGCGAAATCGACGCCGGCATCGGTCTCGAAAACGTCCAGATGGTCGAGCTTGAAGAGTGGCTCATCAGCCAGAACCGCTCGCGTGACGAAGTGAAGATGCTGCGCATCGATGAGCTCGCTCAACTCGGCTGCTGCTGCTTCTGCAGCATCCTCTACATCGGCAACAACGCTTTCATTGAGCAGAACCCCGAGAAAGTCCGCGCCTTTCTTCGCGCATGCAAGCGCGCGACCGACTTCGTCCTCGCGTCTCCTGACCAAGCCTGGGAAGAGTTCTGCAACTTCAAGTCGGCCATGAACACGCCTACCAACCGCAAGATCTTCGAGCGTAGCTTTGCGTACTTCAGTCCCGATCTTCAGAACGTCCAGCGTGACTGGGAGAAGGTCACTCGCTACGGCAAGAGGCTCGGTGTGTTGGATGACAGTTTCAAGCCTAACTACACCAATGAGTACTTGGCTTGGGGTCTGGAGGAGGAAGCTGACGACCCTACTGGCGATCAGAAGCGGATGGTCGAGCTGCAGGAGGGTGTGAAGCAGCATGGCGGGTTCAAGCGTCTCGAAACCATGTCCGGCAAAACCGTCGTTGGCGCTGCTGCCCCTGCCGCTTGAATTTGTCCCTCGGCACACAAATCTGGAGATGCAATCATTAGCTCCATCTCAACGCTTCGGATATCTTTGGGCTGCTATTCAATTGCCAGCACAATCTCGATATGAACAATGAAATTGTCACTCGCTCAAGATCTCTTTACTGCCCCTTGTACGTAGCTTCCGTGATGCTTGTGACGAAGAGCCTACGTCATTCACCAGGGCTCAGGCCCATCACAGTCAGAGAAGCTCTGACGTAATCCGCAGCCAGACGACCATCTGCGGCCACCAAGTACATGAGTGAATGGCCATGCACGGGTTCAAGGCTTTCACAGTCACGCCATGTGATCCGAATCTGTCGCGTGTAAAGTACGCAGAAAAGCGCGAGGAGTAAGCTGATGTGCGAGTTGGCATATCTTTGTCAGAAGCAGTGCAGGAAAGGACCAGGGTGCTGTTGCTCACGAGTGCAGGCACAATCACGTGCCTTCCTCGATTGCGCGGTAAGCTACCCAAGGTCGTCTCACGTTCAGTCGCCACCCAGTGGCTTCACGCTCACAACATATCACAGCTGCCAATTTCCCGAATGCGTCGCGCATCTTCCTAGGCGCAAGCATCGCCGAAGCAGTTACGACTATCGCGGAGATGGAAAAGCTCGCGTTGGTCACAACCCGCACTGCACTGAGAAATGCAGGTGACGGAGAAACATTCTAGTTATCTGAATCCTTACTCTGGACGAAATCTTCTATTACCTGTCCACGTGGAAAGCTAGTGCAACATACCTCAATTCTCTCACCTGGGACCCTTGCATCGTGATACATAAAACCTCGTGGTCTGTTCAGCTCCATCCTTCCTACACCATCGCAACAATATCTTTCGTCGATTCTTCCTCATCTCTATCATTACTATTTACTAAAACAATCCCAACACAACAAGAAAAGCCAACAAGATGCCGAACATCGAAAAGGAGATGACCGCTTCCTACACAGATACGAAGGACTACTGCGTAAGATTAACCCAACACGTTACGCTTGGGATCATCACTAATGCGAACAGCTGGATGAGGACCTCAAGCACTACGTCTTTTCTAATGCCTCTAAACGCATGCTTGTCGCCGAAGGCCCCGAAACAGGCAACGAGGTCTGGATGGCTGTACACATCAACAAGATGCCAACAAAGGATAAGTTCAAACTGAAGCCATCCTATTACAACTCTCCGAACAAGGACAAGCAGCTCAACGTAGTCGAGGCAAAGAAAATCAACAAGGACCATTTGTTCAATGGGCTGCCGAGGAATGGATGGTGGATTCAGACCGCGCTCGCGATCTACAAGCACAAATATCGAGACTACCTTTCAGAAGAGCTCGTAAGAGAGCAGAACGATCTGAAGAGCAAGCGAGCGAAGCCAGCCAGGATCACTAAACCGCAGTTCAAGAGCATTAAGAGCACCAAGAGCATCAAGCACACGGAGAGCAAAACCGTCAACAAGGAACAGCCCAACGTAAAGACCATAGACCTGCAAGGGACGTTCTTCGCCTTCGAAAAGAACTTGTCCGCAGGCGAGTACGAGCTCATCGGAGCCGAAATGGCCAATACACTCAGCCTCAAGACAACACCTCCAACACGTGTGCTCTCAGAGATGAGGGACTTTGCGAGACTCACCGGATACAGTGTTTGCTATGCGCCTTCTTGGGGTCAGTGGCTGGAGGATACGCGACAAGAGCTTCCCGAGCCGGCTGCTGTTGATGCCGAGGCAACGAACAAGGAAGAAGACGAGGCAAGGGAGCCCATGGATCTAGTGTCCATTGCCCATTCCATTGCCGATATCCCGAGCGGCTTTCGACTAAGGCTCCTGGACCCCATGCCCGATGACATGATCGCTGGCATCGAAAAGGTGACAGCATATTTTGAGATGAGAGCGAAAGAACTTGCAGCTGGTGCTTGAGGGCAACAGGACAAACGGAACATGAGGCCACGGCGCGCTCTTGGCGACGATGAGCTAATTTGCATTTATACCCAGCTAGAGTCCAACAGGGCGTCGGTGAAACTTGCATAGTAGGAGAGGCAAGAAAAGCGTGTCTTTTCTTTCTACTTATTATCAGCTCTTTACCAGAGTGGGCATAAATCTTTTCGGAAAATATAGTCAATCTGATATCAATTGACGCAACCATGACACAGCTCTCTCTCCATTGTGACTTGCTGTTGACTCCAAGAGACTCCGCTTGTCTGGTTGGATACAACAGACAAGCCTAACTACTATGCTTGTGAATCTGTGATCGTGACCACAGCCCAAGCGACCGCGTCCCGCGCGTATCGATCCCTACGTTACGCATTCATGCACCTTGTACATTGTTGTCACACGTCTTGCCGGGCAGCATATTGGCTACGCTGGGTTGACTGGCTGACGGGCACCCACCCCGTGGCTAGGAGCTGTCGTGTTACGTATGAATCAACGATCAGGCTTTGTGCGTAGATGTAGACAAGATCAGAAAGTCCGATGTAAAAACATGGCAATTTTGTAGGAATGTCATCATCACAGTGAAGCAGATCAGACTCATATATAGTTTACACTCATTATATTATACTACATACACAGTGCTCAGCACCAGACCAAGAGGAAAGAGGACATCGAAAGCCAACCATACCGGCTCCGATCCATGGGAAACCAATCCTCAAACGCCAAAGTATGCAGTTGAACCGTAAGCGGCCGTTGAAACCCACGCCTTGATAAACACCAGTCAGGCCCGTGTAGGGCCTTGACATGCGACCGTACTCCAATCCTCTGCCATTACTCTTCCATTTTGTCGTTGTCCTTGTTTGCCTCTTTCGCAGGCTCCTTCAAGAACTGTGCGCGGAAGTCTGCGTTGCTCTTCGGCTCGCCGTTTGTTGTTGTAGCACCTTTCGGTATAGCTGGACGACCAAGACCGGGCTTTCCTCGTCCTCGTCCACCGCGAGCAGCAGTAGGTCGGTTGACACGGTTTGGCTGGATGAAGCTGTTGCTCGCCTTCCACTCTCCCTTCTGCTTGTTAAGGTCCTGGACTGTACCGATGCGCAGTTTCCTTCCCTCGAAGTCTTTGCCCTCAAGCGCGAACTGAGCCTTGCCAGCACCTTCCACAGTTGTGAACTCAATGATCGCACCCCCATGATGGGGTTCGAGCTTAATCCTCTTGAAGCCGTACTGTTCGACAAGCGGTTTGATGCGCACGTCAGGCACAGTGTCAGGCAGGTTGAGGATTGCAATGGATCGGTCCATGAATGATGCGGGCTTGATAGCGGCTTCAGGAGCAGCGTCGCTCTGTCCAGAAGTACCTTCGCGAGCGGCTGCGTTTTCCGTGTTCTCGAGAGTTGATTGCACCTTTGGCTTCGTGTCAGGACGCTCTTTTGCAATCTCGACATGAATCTTCATGCCCGCAAACTCCTTCTCATGCATTTCTGCCACTGCTGCATCAGCGCTATCCTTGTTATCGTAAACGACATAACAGAAACCGCGGTTGTTGCCAGTCGACCTGATAGTTGGGCAATTGGTCCTCTCAATCTTGCCAAACTTGGAGAAGGCGTCCCTAACTTCTCGTTCTTTGACCTTGAAGTTGAGATGCCAGATGTAGACTTCGCGACCCTCGGAGGTAGCGCCATCGCGTTTCTTTTTGGCGTTCGGGTCGGAGATCTTTGAGATTAGCTTCAACCCTTCAAAGTCAGTGTCGTCCAGCTGTGTCGCAGCGACCGCCTGTTCAGCTGAAGCAAACTGAACGTAGCAGAACCGGCGATGCGCATCGTACTTGAGTGAAGGGAAGCGAATGCCGATAATTTCTCCGAATGGGCTATAAAGGTTCCGGATCCAGGCTTCGTCGGCATGCGCAGGGTAGTTTGCGACGTATAGTGTCGTGCCTTGGCCTCGCTCGATCGATATGTTGTGACCTTCGAATCCTTTCGCCTCTTTGCTCAGGGCATACTGGGCTTCTTCAGGTGACTCAAACTCCACCACAGCCGTGAGACTATCCTTCTCCTCTTTCAGTACTAGATTGCGGACTGTGCCTGCGTCGGTAAAGAACTGGCGTATTCGAGTCTGTGTAGTGTTGAGTGGTAGCTTCTTCACGATGACTGTAGTGTGCTCGCGATCTCGTTTCGGTCCTGTAGAGCGAGCTTCCGAGGGTGCTTCGCTCGCGACTCTGGCTTGACCATTGACCCCGTCAAGAGCCTCTGAGATCTCTACATGTTTGCTCTTCTTCAATACCGCGTCCTCGTCACCGTCCTCCCGTTTCCGCTTCGTCGAGCTATCTCCGACTTGGCTATCTGGCGTGTCTTGTGGCGGAGCTGCAGCGGCCGCAAGTGCTCGTTCTTTCTCCCTCCGGACGGACACGATGCGCTCCGCTCGTCGTCGCTCGATCGTTGCGCTACGCACCTTTAACGCTGATTCGTGCTGCTCGCAATGGCTAATGTACATGTCGATGAGCAGCTCGGGTTGATCAATCGTTTGTAAGCGCTTCATGCCACGTTCCAGAATGGCAGTGGCCTGGGTGGGCGGCAATAACGGTTGACCTGCATTTTGCTTGCCCCTCGTTGCGTGTGGCGCCCACAGGAGCATCTCGAATATGTAGCAGCGATACCAGAAGTCGTAAGAGTCCTCCTGGTACTTGGTGATAGAGTCCTGAATCTGCCGGGCTTGATCGATGTCACCGCGTTGGAGCCAGAACTTGATATGGGCGCGCTCAAGACGATATTTCCGGTCCGTCCATTCCCTGCCATGCTTCTTCATGCCGACCTCTCGGACAAACTCCAAAGCCGATCGAATTCCGACCTCAGCAACATCGACATCATCCTCCGTTGCTCTGGGGTCATCGAAAGCCCTTCGCCGAAGATATCCACACCAGGCGAGCTGAACCTTGATGAGTTCATCCAGATCAGTGTGCTCCAGAAGTCCAGATCCAGTGGCTGTGTGCTTGACAAGTTCAAGGTCCTCGAATGGCTTGTTTTCCGCTTCGAGTGTCAATAACCGGTGGGACCAGAGTGACCCGGACCATGGGCAATGGCGTGTCGCGCGCTCGAGAACGTTGAGTAAATCTACCGACCGGTTATCTTGCCAAACGAGAAACTCAACGTGGTCTTCCCATATGGAAGGATCAACGGGAAATCGGAGCGTAGCTCGCTCATAAAGTGCGTTGACGAGGTGGAAGCTGTAGACACCCATAGTCCTCTTCTCCCATTTCAAGTAGCGTGTCATGGCGGTGTACTCTGCAGCCTGGTCGCCTGCTTGGATAGCCTGCAGGAGTTTGAACTCGTACTCTTCGCGGTTGGCGTATTGCTGCTTGATGTGTGTATTCTTTTGCACCACTTCATCCATAACCTGCTCGTAGTGGCTTTGGTTATAGCGAGAATTGAAAGAAGAGTATCTGCTAAGGGTGTTCGCCCATGTTGCATGCGGTTGGCCGAGGCGGTCGTTGTAGATGGCGGCCACCCTCTTCGCCTTCTCTTGGCTGAAGCCTCCTCGCTCGAGGTCTTCTTCCAAAACCTGTAGGTAGCGGTCCCAGACGAGATTGCTCTCCTGGAGGTTGTACTTGACTCTCTCAGCACCTTCTTGCAGCGCGTCCAGTAGCAGTTGGGGTTGGAAGAGCTCTCGACCAATAAGCCTCTCCTCTTCAGACCACTCCTCTGGGGGTACTTGCTCCCAAGAGCAGGCGACCAGGTAGCTCACATACTCGCCGTATGCTGCCCAAAGCTTTGCGCTGTAAGGTTCCTCCTGTGTTGCCTGCTTGTGCAGTTCGAGCACACCCATGCGCTGCTCCACATCCTTGGCCAGAGTCTTCTCGTCGTTCAGCCGGTAATGCCACAAGAGCTCGCCAAGCGGGTACTTGTCTGACATGGTTTTGTAGGCATCGCGCAGAGTCTGGACCAACTCGTACGCATTTGGGTCGTACGCGTTTGGGTCGGAGTCGAACGAAGCGAGGTGTTTTTGGAGCCCTTGGTGTAGAATGGTGACGAGCGAAACATGGCTGTAGTAGTCGAATGGGTTTTCCAGCAGCGTTTTATCGAGTTGGTTGAGCCAGTCGATGTGCTGTTGGTCGAGAGAGCGAGTGATGAAATTGCGCGGTCGCGGTGAGGCCTCGGACATGATGCTAGCTACGGACTCGCCGGAGAGGTTTTGTCCGAGGTGTTGCAGTCTGGCAAGTGGTCAGTGTTTGGTGGTGGAGTTTGCGCGACAAAACTAGGCTGCCGGAACAGGCTACAGCAACCCGTGATCACGGGCAAGCGCGACACCCGGACGTCACTGCCTGCCCCACAAAACACAAAGCGCGCTACTTGTGGACATGCAGGTGCAGTCGTCGGCTCAGAAATGGGGCGGCCGAGAAAAATCAGCAAAGATGAAGAACTTACGTGACAGGCCGTTGGTGGACTACAGAGTTCTGGCGCGCAGCTTGTTGTTGCTGCATGCTGGCAAGGTCTGAAAGTTGTTAGCAGATTCCCTGGGAGCTAGCGACCCATCGTCGTTTGTCGTAGCTCTTTCCTCCCTGCATCTAAGCTGCGGCTCCCTCATATGGGGGCCGTCTACAGCAGTGTGCCTCTACCCCAAAGAAAGCGGGCACGTACCTGCAAGAGTGTCCATGCCCGGTGTGGATGTTTGGCGGTACATGGGGTTCGGGGTCGCCATGCGCGCGTCGTGCGGCGATGCTATTTGTTGTGGCGTTCCCATTGCGCTGTGTACTCCTCTTGCGCCGTTCGCGATGTGGGCGTATCCCGGGGACGGCACACGCTGTTGGAGCGTCTGGGGCGGCTGCGGGGAGGACCTGATCTGTTGGCTTAGACCCGAAGGTGTTCGCGATGGCATCTGGCGTCTTGTGCGCTTGCCCGGGGATCGGAGTAGTGACGGCGACGGGATGGTAGGGGCGGCTTGTGGTGTTGGGGTGCCCGCAGGCGAGTCCGATGGCGACAATAGCGAGTTGATATCCATGGTGTACAGTGTTCACGACCTTTTGTTTCGTTTGGCACGCACTGCGATCCAGCAGCTGTCTTGAATGCTACACGCGCGCCAGGCGTCTGTCGATGCTCTCTCTTCCTATGGTCGCGAGCTGCAGAAACTACTAGGCATCGGGTCCCTCGTAACGAGCGGCATGGGACGACGGCGGGCGTTTGGCGCGAAAAGGACCGTCGGAGGCGCGAGGCGATGGGGATAGCGAGTGTGATGGGAGATGACCTCGTCGGCGTCGTGGGTGAGAAGGCCTACACCCGGTCTAGAAGAAAAGGTGGTTAGGTGCACCAGGCAAGCTTGGGCCTGCGACTAATCGAGTAATGATGGAGCGAGCACGTCGCGACTCGGAGCAGCTGGATGCGGACTCCCGGAGTGAGTTGGCGGCGGTACAGCACGATGTTTGGCGCGTCACGGAATGCGCGTCAGGCAACGGGGTCAAGAGTCTAGAGTCGACGGTGGTCTGGACAGGAGCGGGACGACACGACTCCTGCACATTTCTTCTGCGTTCTGATCGCTCTGGTTCAATGATGATCCCGCTGCCAAGCCAGCCCCCTGCAAGCGCCCTGCGCCAGCGCGGAGCCTTTCGCCGTGCCACAGAATTTCCCGCGACACTTCACAGCAGTGGCATCATCAACGCCGCAGCGCCGTGGTGTCGAGCATCGCTATGAGCGCCCGGATACCCTCACGGCGGCTGGGGCAGTCAGGTAAGCTATTACTGGGAACATTGATCCCCTGCACCATTTTCTCCGCACCTATCGGACCGCTAGTCGTTCTTCCGGGCGGTACAACACCATGACGACTAACATTGAATAGCCCTCGCCGCGCGCCCACACACCCAATGGATACCCTTAACCTCGATCCTTTCAATCTCACAGCGCAATATCTCGTTCGGGCGCAAGAAAGACAACGATGACCTCTCCAATACCGTCTATTCAGGCGCTCATCGCACTGAAGAGTTCAGAGGGGTCAAGAATACCAACGATGACCTCACCAATCCGATCCTCGAAGACTACCTATCGAAGAGGGCAAAACGAACAGGTGCGAAAGGAAAAGACGCATCAGCAGGGCCCGTACGCCCCACTCCTCGTGAAGGAGACTTCGCCGTAACCCCAACTTCCCTCTTCCCACCCGAAAGCGACATTCCCGGCTGGCGGCCAGACCTGAGCCCACAGGAGAAACTCGAACTCAAGGCGAAATACCGCAAGGGAGAGCAACAAGAGGCGCTTAAGGAGGACAAGAAGCTCATGGATATGTCACTCGATCCCGACCAGAAAGCCCGCAGGCGTCTCGAGCGCAAACTCGTCATTTCTGGCGTGAAGCGTCACGGCCGCATGACAAAGGCGCAGAAGCTACTCCGTACCGAACGCCAGTCAGTCTACAGGTCACAACTCCTTCCTACGTCTACCAAGAAGCTGCAGAAGGTCGTAAACCAGATCGCCGGAAAGACTGTCTCGGAAGCCCTCGTCCAACTCCGCTTTTCTCCGAAACGTGTGGCCCGCGACGTCATCAAGGGCCTCGAAATCGCGCAGAACGAAGCCATTGCGGCCCGCGGCATGGGTCTCGCTGGCGAAGACGCTGCGGTGTCGCGTTGGAAAAAGCAAAGAGCAGCTACGGATGCGGGGAGACCGAAGGATACTTGGGACTACAAGACGTCGAAAACGAATGGCAGTCTGGAGGCGAAGCCGGTTAAGGTGCCTTTCTTCAAGGACACGACGATCCAGTTGAAGGATGGGAGTAAGAAGGTGGTCCGCGACCCCAGCGAGATCTACATTGACCAGGCGTGGGTTGGACCCGGGCAGAGCTGGAAGACCCCTGAGTTCAGGGCGCGGGGCGCTATCAACATGCTCAAGCACCGGACGACGAGTGAGCTTGTCACACACTTAATCTTGGAAATTGGGCGCTAACAGTGCACGACAGGTTTCTCCGTCCTTCTCAGGGAAGAGAAGACGCGCTTGCGCATCTCAGACGAGATTCAGAAGAAGCGCGACAACCGCAAGCTGTGGACCGCACTTCCCGACCGACCCGTCACATCACAACGGCAATACTGCCTGTGGTAAACGATTGTACGAATTCAGTGTATAGCATATATTGCCGGTGGAAGAAACTGGCTTGTACAATATACCATTCAAGATCAACCGTTCCCCATCATCCAAAGCAATATCAATCGCTTTATCCGGGTATCTCTCTATCACCCATCCAAGGTGCATAACGTACATGGCTGCTGATGCCTTTTCAACTTTTGGAACATGTGACAAGATCCTGAACGCCTTCGCTATGCAAACAAAAGATCCCTTTACCATTCTCATGCTTCCACGCCGTCTACTGCGCCGACGCTGCTGACGAGCATATCTAGCATGCCACGTACCTTCCATGCGTCTTGGCTTGCTTCGACGGTCACCTTGACTCGCTGCATCAGCGCCATGATTAGATCGTCAACCTCCTCGCTTCTGCCCAGTTGATCGGCGTATAGGTCCAGGACCACGAGCGCGACGTCGGTGGTCAGACGTGTGATGCGGTAGTCGGAAACGTTCTTTATGCACCAGCGGAGGATGGGTTGGAGTGTTACGGAGTCGCGGTTGCTGAGAGCAGTTCGGAGAGCAGAGCGGTGGCGTAGAGCGGTCAGGAGAGTAAGGGACTGGCTGCGGGCGTTTGCGTCCTTGAGAGATGTTAGTCCTAGTCTCAGAGGTGTACAGGAGAATGGAAAACATACCTTTGATTCGAGCACCATGTCCAGCGCCTGCGCGTACATGCCCTTTCGCAGCGCATGCGCCCACGGCTGTCCGGCCGTGATCTTTCCCCGCGCATTGCCCTCGATCACGATGTCTGCGCTCTCGCCGGTGAAGTCTTTGCCTCGGATGCGCTTTTCCCAGCCCTTTCCGCGCTTCCGCTTCTTGCTCCTGTCGTACTCTTCGATCTTGCCTTCCATAAGCGCTTTCATCTCCTTCTCTCGCTCACGAGCCTGAACCTTCTGCTCGCCGGAGAGATGGGTCTTGATCGAGAGAAGACCAGATTGCATACCCACCGCAATGTGTCTGTCCTCCTTTTGGTTCGGGATGACGCTGAGTGACAGGATGGGCGAAGGGTACTTCATACCACCTACGACATTCCAGCCTGTTGTTTCGAAGACCTTGACGTGGCCGTCGAGGGCACCGGAGAGTAGGCGTTCGCCATTGTTCGCTAATGAGAGCGCAGTCACAGTTTTCTGGTGGTTGCGCAGCATGTGGATCGGCTTTGCGGCTACAATGTCGAGAACGCTGATGACGTTGTCGGCTGCTGCGAGGACGGCCGTTCCAGACGGCATAGGGAGGACAGTCTCGACGGGCGCAGCGTGTTTGAAAACCATGACCGCCTTTCCGCCTACTCGCGAATCCCAGAGTCGTACCGTCTGATCGTAACTACCAGATACAAGCAGCCCACTTTGCGCAGGCATGAAGGTACCGCTGCGCACGTAGTCTTGATGCCCGTCAAACTTCATGACGCTCTTCTCACTCGGCAGGTCCCATAATCGCACGGTTCTGTCGTCGGAACAACTCATCAGGCCAGTAAGATCTGTGGGATTCCACTGTGTGACCCAGACGGGCTGCTTGTGTTCCTTCCATGTCTTCAAGATGGCCCTGCTCTTGACATCGAACGCTTGTATGACACCAGTATCTCCTCCTGCGACCAGAATCCTGCCATCGCGCCGTATGTTTCCCGAATGCGCAACGTCGTCGACGCCGAAGCGCGATATCGTCTTGACGACCTTTCGGCTCTTGGAGGAGAAAATCTGGACGCGCGATCCAGTAGTGACTGCGAAGAGATCCTGGGTGGCCGAAAGCGTATTGGCGGGCTGAGGGGGCGGTATCGAGATGTGAGTGACGGGCGAGGAATGTTGCGAAGGGTCGAGTTTGAGCTCCGAGGCGAATGAGTTCCAGTACTTTTGCTCAGACGTAAGGGTGGAAGGGCCCTTTGGCAGCTTCAAGGGCTGCAGGAGTTGTACTTCGGCCGCCATTGTGAAAGTTGGATGCGATCAATGCGCGTGGAGTTGCGAATGTCGTGAGCTTTTCGGGTGGAGGAACTTTTCGGTGGGTCAGGAAGTCACGCTAACGACATCGGATGGTGGCGCCTTCCCGGCCTGAACGCGGACAGATGCCGACCGTAATCAATTTCAGCATGAAAGTCGCGAGTGAGCAGATCCTGATAATCTGTGCCGTGAGCTTTACTTGTCAAAATCGTCTTAATGGATTGCTATCATCATCGGAAAACGCCAGTTTCTTCGTCACACAGCATGAGCTGACTAGTGTTGGTTGCCTGGAGGATCGCCCGGGCGCACCCAGTTCATCAATAGACGACGGACGGCGCAGCACATTCCACCTCATCAGCGTCAAGCCGGCTTCCACGTTCTGTCATGCGACCCCCAAACATCAGATGTCTCTCTTTTCGATTCGGACCTATTGAACTGCCAATGATCAATTGCCTGGCTCCAGGATAACCCACTCGCAGCGCGTCCACCAGGGCCGCACTAGACGCGTCACGATGGATCCCGACGCGCTCGACAGGATGAACGATTTCTTCGATTTCGCCGCTCTTGAACAGAACGACCAAGTCGAACACACCCATGCCTCAAGTGGGCAAACCGTGTCATACTTTCAACCAGACAATGTCACGGCTATTGACTTCGCTTTGGAACCAGCGGCCCAAGATACCCTCCAATTGTACGACGTGCCCATGTACGACGTGGCACACAATCTCTCCTCTGGCGATATAAACCAACAATGGCTAACGTCTCACCCAACAACATATGCTGCGACGTCTATGATTGAAACGAGTGTAGACTCAGGAGCAGACGTCGATTGGCAAACTGTTGATATGGAACATGCGAAGGACCACAGGATCCGCGATGCGACGGATCTCGCTCTCCCGCCTTCATTGTCATCGCTTGCGCTAATGCAATGCGATGATGAAGGCAGTTTGATTGATGCCCCGCACTCTCAGCTCGGGCT